AATTCACTGTTCGAAGGCAATTCCATCTGGCTTCTGCCCTCGCTGTTTCTGGCATCTAACAGACACCCTTGCACTTGTCTCTAGAGCTTGCGCAGAAGAATAAATAATTCAAGCTAGGCTCTATCAATGCCGACCGTAACCACGTGCCTATTGTCTGAGACAGGACTTCACATTGGCTTTGATGGAGGATTTTAAAAAGACACAAAATTAAACTACCTGATCTGGCATGTAACTCGAGAACCGTCAGTCATTCCACATATGGGATTCTACTTATTGATTTAAAAACCTGGTTTCTTTTTGGGAGGGAATAAAATTGGAACTTAAACGCACTTAGTCTTGAATGCTCCAAATACCTCGCTTCTTTGTTCCCAGATGCACTCAACTTGCGATCAATAATGCCGCAAACACGTGTCAGTTTCTTGCTTTCTGGCAAGCATCTCTGTGCTGCAGCCACCTTTCGTTCGAATCTCTGTGAGGCTGGGGACGTACAGAGCTGCCAGAACGGCCAGCAGGCCAGCTGGTGTTCGTCGGTTTCATTTCGTCTCTCTGCGGTGCTTTTCTGTATATAAAGCACTGACTGGAGCAGAGGACAGTATGGCTTGGTAGAAAGAGCACGGGCTTTGGAGCGTGTGACCTTAGGTAAATCACACAGCCTGAGCTGTATGAAAATTGTACCAACCCGGCTGAGTTCTCAAAGGTTGCTATTATTCTGCCATAACAAAGTACCACAGACTGGGGGGCGTAAACAATAGATGTTCGCTTTTCCCACATTTCTGGGGGCTTGAAGAGCGATACTGCAGGTTTGTTTTCTCCCGAGGCCTCTCGTATGGGCCTGGGATGGCTGCCTTCCGTGTCCTCACATGGTCCTTCCTCTGTGTGCAGGACACCAGTCACGCTGGATTGGGGCCCACACTGAAGACCTCATTTGAACTTCATTACCTTTAAAAGACCTTATCTAGTCACATTCTGAGGTTCTGGAGGTTAGGGCTTCGACATAGGAATTTTGGGGGCACAGAATTCAGTCTGTAACAAAGACTAAATGACAAAGTAGAGGGAAAGAACTCGTGCTTTAGAATCATAAAGCGTAATTTCAACTCCTGGTTCCGTTGCTTGCTAATTATGTGAATTTGGGCAAGTTGCTTAACCTGTTTCATCATCTGTAAAGTGGATATAAGAATATCTCACTCAAAGGGATTGTCGTGAAGATAAAAGTGTTAAGTATGCAAAGGGCTTAACAGTATCTGGAAGACAGAGGCCGAATGTATTTGCTATTATTGAATTATTTCTTCCTAGCAATAACTGGTTAATGCTTCCTATTGGCTTCTTTTTGTCAGAGTGCTTTGCCACTAGCCTTGGTGATGGTCTGTGAACTAAGTGACAAATCTCTGTCCTAGAGACTTTCAGGAACATTTCTTGATCGCCTGAATAAAGACAGCAGCAGAGGTGGCGAATGAAACATCCCCAACAAAGCCTTGCTAGTGATGGCACACATTCCACATCAGACCGTCTCCCTCCCAGTGTGACCTGTGTACTTCCTCTTTCCTTAGCCTATCTTGTGACAGAATTTCCCTTACGGCAAAAGTCATAGGCAGTGCATCCCGGAAGAACTGGCCAGAAATACAGCAGGACTGGAGAACAAGCGGCATATTACAAAGGACACCTCCACGCAAGGAAGGAGCTTTAGTGCAGGGGAAGGTGGCCAAGCTGAAAAAGTGTTGTAATTGTTGCTTCTAGTCAGGGAGGCCCCTAGACAGAAGCCCAGTTCTCTGTTTTAACCATTCCAAACCAGCTAGAAAAAAAAGAACCTCCAGAAATAAGATCAAACTCCATCATGACAAACAACTTTGTACATGGTCACAGCAGCACGACTCCGAAAGTGGTCTGCAGATCTGTGCCCATCTGGTCCATGACAAAGCACAGGAATCAACATGTAAGCATGTCAACAACAACAACAAAACAACCCAATTTAAAAATGGGCAGAAGACCTGAATAGATACTTCTCCAAAGAGGAAATACAGATGGCTAATAGACATATGAAAAGATGCTCAAGATCACTAGCCATCAGAGAACTGCTAATTAAAACCATAATGAGATATCACTTCACACCTGTCAGAATGGCTATCATCAATAAATCAAAGAACAAGTGGTGACGAGGATGTGGAGAAAGGGACCCTCAAATACTGTTGGTGGGATTGCAAATTGGTACAGCCGTTATGGAAAACAGTCTGGAGGTAGTTCAAAAAATTAAAAATGGATCTACCTTTGACCCAGCAATTGCTCTTCTGGGTATTTATCCAAAGAAAACCAAAACAATTATTCGTAAAGATCTATGCACTTCTATGTTCACGGCAGCACTATTCACAATAGCCAAGATACGGAAGCAACCTAAATGCCCATCAACAGACGATTGGATAAAGAAGTTATGGTTCACGTATACAGTGGAATATTACTCAGACATAAAACTAAAATCCTACCATTCATAACATGAAAAGGCCGAGAAGTTATTATTCTGAGTGAAACAAGACAGAGAAAGATAAATACCGTATGATTTCACTTATATGCGGAACCTAAAAAACAAAAAGAACAAACTAATCGAAAACAGACTCACGAATATAGAAGACAATCTGGTGACAGCCAGAGGGGAGTGGGGTTGGGGGGCTGGGAGGAAGGGGTGAAGGGTTAAAGAAGTACGAATTAGTTGACAGAGGGTTACGGGGATGGGAAGCACGGCATAGGGATGCAGTCAGCAGTAAAGTAATGGCTGTGGAGAGCCAGAGAAGAGAAAGAGCAATTAGGGGGATCGTTTCATAAACTATATAAATGTCTAACCAATGTACCGTATACTTGAAATTAGTAAAATTTAAAAAGCATTTTGAAACAGTTTGACAGAATAATTTCATGTCTATTAAATCTATAACAAAAACTTTCTGCTTATATTTTGTTCTAGAAATTCATTCTTACTGAATTTTACAAAAGTATTGGTCCATGGCAACCAGTCCTGCAGCAGGGAGGGCTTAAGCGCCAGGTTATAAGCCTCTAAATAGGTCTTGAATGTTTAAAAACCTGTCACAACTCAGCAGGATGCTGCTGCTTGGGCCCTAGTACGTCACACTCCAGAACAAAAAGCACAGGAAGACCACAGCATTTTTCTTCAGTCCACCCTTAAAGAAAATGATAGTCTGTTCTATCAGGAATAGAGTAAAAATCAGCTTTCAGTGTACATTCTAGTCCAAACTGTCACCATATTGAAAAGGGCTTTTTTTATTCCAATGTATATTAAGGCTAAACACAACACTCTTCAGAACTGAAAGGTATCACAGTGAAAAAAATCCTGAATATGAGTCAGAAAATCTGGATTCAAGTCCTGGCTTTACTGCCTAAAAACTCTTTGACATTGTGTAAGTGATGTTGCCAGGCCAGTTTCCTTAATTACAAGAAGTGGAGATTAAAATGATCTGCCCAGTTTACATCCTGAGTGCTGTGAGACTCAGCAGCACAGCAGTACACCATGGGATCAGGATTCTGAGTCCAGCCTTTAAAGAAATGACCATCTCAAAGGAAACAGCCCCTAATGGGGTACAATGAGGAAGCTGACCAGAACGCTGATTCTTCAAATATTTTGTTAATCAAAGATTTACCAAATTAGAAAATGCTGCCTTCAAACTCTTCCCTGTGCAAAAAGCACTCTCGTTTTCTAAAGAACGATTAAGTCCGTTTGTTTCCACCCCGCCAGGTCAACATGATGAGGGGAGCAGAGGGGCTTACCCCATGCCGGCCCGCGGGGCACCTGGCATGCTCAAGGCAGTGACCCTTAAATACAGCAGGAACTAGAGAAGGGCAACTTTTCCAATTTTAACTTGTACAACTACTTGGAGACCCTCTCAAAAAAAACCCACAAACTTAAAAATGCACCATTTCATTCCTGTACTTTAGGCAAGAGAAGACCAGAAAATCATAATGTATTTTAGCTTTATTGAAGACATATTACAGTAGACAAACAAGTAGACGAACACATGCTTTATAAAATATACATTCTCATGTGTGAGAAAATATAAATAGATACCAGGAAAGGGCCGCACTGAGCAACTTGGCTTACAACTCCCTTCAGGTACGTCGAGTACCAAGGCTACTCAGGCTGACATGCTGATGGGGGAGGGGCTGGGGTGCAGAGGGTGGAAACAGTCTCTCAGTGTTCAGGAGGCCACTTTAAGTAGGCAAGAAACAGTCCAAGATTGACCGCCTGATGATCAATTTCTCTTTCAAGACAGTTTCAGCTGATAACTACACTTCTTACATTTGAAAACAGCCTCAAATCAAACTGTTTTTCACCTTCACCCCACACCTTGGAGATTACTAGGACTGCTAAAAAACACTCGACACATAGCCTTGAGGGAGCAGGTCCGAGTATTACTCCTAAAACACACACACACACACACACACACACACACACACACACACCCATCAGTACCCACAAAAACTTCAGATAATTCATGGGCTTTCAGGTGTTAAGAGCAGCTCGTAATATATCTCTCAAGTCAAAACTTGTTATTCTTGCAATAAACTAGGCAGTTGTCCAAAACAGAAAGAAAATTAAGGCTAACTGATGTTGGCTTAGATGGTACTCCAAACAAAAAAGTTATAAATTAGAAGAGGAGGGAGGGAAATATATTTGCCAAACTTAACTGGGAAAGAGACCATGTAATAGAAAAATGAAACATTACTTGCAAATTGCCAAAAAAATCTTAGCTCGATCTTTAAGGTCCAACCATTTCACAATTACCTTTGTAATCTGCATCAAAAAGCAAAATCAGAAATGGAGGATGTAGCATAAAATGACAGCAAATTTACTTCTGTTTCTCTGTTACTCTCTTGGCATTTCTGTAGATATTCAAATGATTAGATAAGGCCATAACACATTTGGGTAAAATACTGGGTATAAAACTAAACACCACAATTCCAACCTCATTCAAAATGGAGTACCACTGATTAGAAGGAATAAAAAATAATGACTAAAAGGGAAGGTTATAATACATTATAAGCTTTAAAAATTTTATTATGGCAATGCCATTTGTGTTAATAACTAGTTATGGAAGAGTAAGCCCAGAGTTTTCAGCCATTAATACAGAACAGACTTTTTGTTGACCAAAACCCAAAATTCCTGTTTAAAAAAAGAAGTCTTAAGCATTCTATATTTACTGTATATAAAGAATTCTGAAGGATTAATTTTTAAGAATGTCGAATTGCTTCTGGAGATTTCCAATGATAAAAAAGATAGCGACCTAAAAGTCATCTTGCCCATATTCCATCTCAATGCATAAATTTCTTCAATGCTATTAACATGAATAACTTCCATGTATACTTTTTCAACAAAAAGCTGATTCCAATTCAGACAAATCTGTTAATTAGCTTACACAGAATTTTTGGCAAGTGTATATACTGTGCCTCCTGCAACTTCTGCCCCACTGTCCTCTTGAATAAAAAGAGTGAATCACCCTTATTTCATATGACAACCCTTTAAGTAATGGCAGACTTTTATCATATCTCCCTTTTCTTAGGAAATAGGTAAGAGAGTCTAAGTTGCTTGACATCTTAATGTTCCTTTTACAGCCTCCCAGCGGGCAACGTGAAGGCTACTGTTTTTAAACAGGAACGTTACCTTAAGAAAAATACACACTGAAAGCATCTGTAGATGGCACAGCAGAGGGAAGTGCGCCCTGGGCTGGGCTGCTGCTATTTCCTATCCTGTACAGTACCTTGCATACGAGGGAAAGCATTTTCGAAGCTGCTGAGTGACAGAAAGCCAATGGCTTAGGAGGAGGCCCTGGGCCAGGAAGGCTTGGAGATCAAGAATCAGCCTAGGAGGGGCACAAACAAATGAAGAGAAGTTATGCGTCCCTCCTGACAGGAAGTGGTAACTGGGGGACAGGGCGTAGTAGTTCCCTCCCATTTTAGTCTGTCCTGCTTCCCAACATCTCTGATTAAATTAGCGTCGGGCAAATGTTATGCTAATCAGCCACGAATCCTGGTACGGGGTTAAATAACTGCTTAGTCAAAAACATATACAACAGTGAAAAGTGCCAGGAATTCCTCCTAAGGTTAGAATTTATTAAATTTATTATTTTTTAAGACCAGGGGTAGGCTATTCACAGTTAAACAAATTCCCAACTAGCTTTTTGGTCAAGTTTTTTAGTTATGTAGACGTCCCAACCATCTGAGTTGACATAATGGAGAACCTGGCCATTGAGACCAACTCGGACACTGCTGGCAGCAGAACAACCACCGCTAAGCAGAGGCGGCACTCACGTATTTGAGGTTTTCTATAGCGCTGGTCCATGGCCTGGTCGGTCCTCTCACACATAACAGCCGATGCTCACTTGCAGTCTAGCGCTAACTCCACCTTTTTCCCTCAAGGAAGTCTATCAGACTGTGAGTGACAGTACTGCAATTACAGAGGTGCCCTCGAATACATCTGAAAGGTGAGTCACAGAACGTTACGGACTGACTGGCCGTGGCAGCACCTCCTGCTGATTCCGATGCTCTGCCGCACTGCAACACTAGCCTTCAGACCTGCTGGTCTCAAGGGCAGTGGGTGGTTTTCAGTGGAGTAAAGAGTCTGTGTCTACTGATACCGTGTAGAAGCAGAACATTTCTTCTCAGGAGTATTTCCCACACCGTGACTCCCGGTAGAGAGGAAATAAATCTGGCTCGAGTCAGAGGAAGCAGCATCACTCTTGGTCCCCTCTATCACACACTGCATGAAGGCAGCTTGTTATTAGAGTAGCGTAGTCCTCCTTGGTCCCCGGAGGAATCATGGATTCATAGAATGGTATCGCTGGAAAGGGCTTTAGAACATCTAGCAAAATGCCCTCGTTTCATAAATGAGAAAATCAAGTAGAGAAGCAAAGGGACTTGCCCTCGATTATACGACCAGTAAGTAGCAGAGCCAGGAACTAGATCAGGTCTCTTGATTCTAAGACAGCACAAATTATACTACCACCTAGTAAGAAGAGGAATCACAAATCGAAGAGATAGGAGAACAGTGATATTCGAGAAGTTCGAAGGGAAAATGAACAGAAGCTGACAGTTTAAAAAGGAAAAAGAGAAAGGCATAGTGGTACAAAGCAGCTGAAGAAGTGCTGCTGTCTATTGGAGAACAATTTACGACTGAAAACTAGTATGAAATGCAGCTAAACTTTCCAACAAAAAGCTGAGAAATTACGTGAGTTTAGAATCTTTGAAATGAACAATGTCTTAGAAATAGATATTTTCATTTAGGTGATTAAAGTCATCTAGTACACAACTAGTACTTACTAGATGAGAAGACAGAATCTGACAGCCTTTGTAAGGAAATCTGAAAGCACAATGAAAGAACTTTTAGTTCATTACATTCCACTAGTGTTAAGTCCTTTGTTTGCATAAAGCTTTTTGCTATCGGAAACTCAGGAAAACTTTTTGGCTTAAATAATCACTTGTACAAAACAAGAACCACTCCAAAGCCTTATAGAATTTATGCACATTCTTCTACTCCCAAAAGCTCTCTCTCCTTCTTAAGATACACTGTGCATTGGTAGAAGAGACATTATTAAAAAAAAGAAAGAAAAAAAGCAATCTTTGGTTTCCTCATCAACTAAGTATTCTGCTGAAAGAAGATATTCCCCAAACAAGTTTTCCTTTATCTATGTGCATATGGCTATGAGAAGACTGCTAATGTTTCGAAAGAGCCTTTTTATGCTAGAAAGGTAAATACTACCCGGTACTTGTAAAACAGATGGCAAATGATTAGATGTATGAACCTTTAGGTATGAAGAAAGTGGTTAATTACACCAAGACAGTGTTTGTGTGTACGCATTCACTAGGTACCCTGCCTCTAATACATATATATATATATTTCTTACCAAACACGTTTTAAAAACTTTCGACAGTCTTTAGATTCACTAAACCAAGATATACAAAATGTCTGTGGTCTGAGAAGCGGCTGTCAGTATTATAACTGGATATTATATATACTTTTGGCATATCAAAAATATTTACATTTCGGCCAACGCATATAGTCAATGAATACAAAAATTATTTATAAATGTACATAAATTTACAATGAGAGCCCTGGATGATCGGGAACCCTCTCCCACGCACCCCCCACCCCCCAACAAAAAAAAAAGATTCATAAGAATACAAAATCCCTTGACCTGGTAACAGTTGGTCAAACCTAGGATTCTTGTCGAAGGCCTTGAATATCAAAACCCCAGTCTCATCCATCCATATGCTAAAAACCACCAATGAATCCCAGGAACATTTCCCAGAGGACTCCAAAGTTATTTTTGTTCTTTGGAAGGCGAAAGAAAACAGTGATGTCTTCTCAGAAGCACTCTGCGGGTGGAGACAATCAGCTCCTTAAGCAGCAACACTCTTCCTAATATGCAAGGCGCACCTGGGCGCATCCCTGTGCACCCAGCGGGAAGCACGTGGTCCTGTATCCTCCTCTGCCCCTGTTGCACACTTTTCACTGGACGTACCCATTCCGTCAGCCGTTGCCCTTGTCAGGTATAAGCCCGAACAAATGCCTGGCCCGCCTTGGTGTGGTCAGATGTAAATGTTGACAAAGAGTAAAGCAAACGCTGACTTTGGGGTTTCTTCTGAACTCTGAGGTAGTGAATACAAAATTAATTAATTTGGGTCTTTGCCCAGCTTTCGTCCTGGAGTGAGTTTCATGTGCCCTCACTACCATCTTGAATATTCCGAGTCCTACTAAAATCAAAAGCATGGTCGGGTAACTTGCGACAGGCCATGGGGGAAGTGGCAGGGTCTGGACCACTCTCTGCCAGGCTCTTGTTCTGATGGAGTCGTGGTGACTCCAGGACTGGCTGCTGGGAAAACGGAGGGTGAGTCAAGCCTAGTTCTTTGCTTGTGTTCCACAGAGGCCGCTGCAATGTTTCTGAGAATCAAAGACAAGAATTATCAGTGGTGAGTACAAGTTCAAAATTAATTTTCTAAAGTTTAATTTTCTTTTACCCAAATCCTCAAAGAAATAAAGATGCCCCATATTCCTGAATAAGCACACTGAGATCAAATATATACTTGCCATCTTGTTAGCAATGACTAAAAAAAAAAATAACTGGAACTATGATCTTTCAAATTCCTGAATCCATGCTATATATCATCTACTTAGTGCTTTTGCAGCTATAAAAATTTGAAATCTCTTTAGACACATGGAAATAGACTAAAAGAGACTAATAGTATCCATATTGTAATGAAAAGTTGCATGATACATAAAAACTGATTCAGAACAGTTTTTATCATAAATGCCTATGATAAAAAAAAACTGTCTTAAAAATAAATAACCATTTCCCTCCCGCTTCCAGCTTGCCAATAATTTTAATGACAAAATAATAACCAAAAGCAGTGATTTTAAATCAGATTATGTGTACCTTTGTTTTAAAAATATGAATTTCTCATTCTCCTTATTTACTGTAGTAGTAACCTTTCTCCCCAAAAATGGTTTACTAGAGTTATATTAACTTCATGGGGTTGCATTTTGGAAAAAGCTAGTCAAACATTCTGGAAATAAATGCTCAGAAATGAAACAAAAACCCACGTGAAAAGCAAGCTAAAGCTGAGTTTCTCAAGCCTTAATATGCAAACGACCTGGGGAACTTGTTAAAACATCTGGTTCACTAGGCCTGGGATGGTACCCACGATCTGCATTTCAGATCCGCTCTTGGTGATGCTGGTGCTGAGGACCCACTCTGATAGCAAGGAGCTAACACACCCCAGGTACTGAGTGAGCAATGCGCCGCCACTCTCACTTGCTGATTTCCTCACTTACAGACCAAATTAACAATTAAGATATCCCCAAACTCAGGGGAAAATGCATTGCATTTTAGGGTCTACTTAAAGATTTTTGTGTGGTTAGCTCATGAGAAAATGGATTTAGTGTTGGTGCATTTCTTTCATGGACAATGAACTCTGAAGAGACTAATTTTAGTAATGGTACACTTTTCTCTGACCTGTACCTTCTTTAAAATCTTTAGAGTTGGTCTCTCAACAACACAGCACAACTCAAAAGTCCCACATCAGATCATTTATTCCTGCCAGACCCAGACCTAAAATGTACTATTATACAGTCTTCCTCTAAACCTGCAGTTCTCACCCCTGCCCTATTTCCAGTGTTCTTCCATTTCAGGATGACAGAAGGGTGACAGCTGATGAAAAGCCTGGATGAGCAGGAAGAAATGGTCACTGGTAGTTGTTCTGTTTTACTGACTGAGTCATTATCAAATGCCTCATCTGTATAATATAACATGTATTCCTTTTCTTGGGCTATGTGGGACCAAGGACACTATCCCAAAACTGCTTTCCCACTGATAGCCCTGATGGTAATATCTCAGAGACAAGGGCAAACACCTGCCGAGTGATACTGACACCTAATACTTACCTGACAGCACAGCAACCAAACATTTTAAAGTATTCTCAGTAAAAACCTTCACCAAAGTATGCCCAAATTATATCCTTAGCATTTCAAATCTCCATCATTTAAATAAAGATGGAAGAAAAAATTAACACCTGTATGAAACTTTTAAAAACTTTTTCTATATGGCTTCTGAATTTTTAGAGGTGTGAACCTGTTCTCACAAAAGCTATTTTCATCCTACAGGTGCAGATTCCCTTGTAACTCTAATCTCTAAAATCTCTGGCTCTAGTCTGTACCAGCTACCAGTAGCTAATTACTCCGTTATACCAATTTGATTGCTTCCTGTCAAATGAGAGTGCCACCTGTATGACAGAAGAAAAGAGCGAGGAGGTGAAAATGAAAACAAAATGAACAGAATACACTGTGCCCTTTACCAGTGCTCGTCTGTGTGGAGGAGAGTTTCTTCTCACTCATCCTCTCATGGTTGGTGGGAAAGGCAGACATGTCTTTATCTGTTGACAGTATCAGGCTCTCCAAAGTAGGGGCATCTTGGGAAGGATGGGCCATATATGTCTCTTTGGGCATCTGGACCATAAGGCTGGACAGCGTCTGATCTAGAACATCCTCCTCAGCAATATAGGTGTACGGACAGTATTCTCGGGTCCTGGAGTAGATGTTGGCATTGTCGTAACAATCCGAGCAGATAACCCGGGTACCAGTGCCACCTAAAGACAACATGGGAAAGATCCAAACATCCTCCAGTTAAAGAACCAGCTCTGCCAATCATTGGTTTTCTTCAACAGTTACCATCATTGTCATCATAGCTGGTATTTATTTAACACTTACTTTATAAATCAGGTGGAATTTCAAGGCCTTTCTGTGAATTAACTAATTTAATCCTCACAACACCCTTGTGAGGTAGGTACTATTATTATCCCCATTTTACAGACGGGGTAAGTACAACACAGAGAAGTTAAGTAATTTGCCCAAAGATGTACTGCCAGAGTGAGGAGCTGCAATCTAAACTCAGCACTCTGGCTCCAGAGCTCATGCTCTTGAATACAACACTAAACCATCTTTGTCTGGCCTTGAACAAGGTAATACTCAAGTGAAGGAAGCCAAAATAAGGCTCGCACTGTGCTATTAAGACACGTTCGGCTTAAGCAAACTAAAGCAGAAGACGAGGAATTATGATGAAGCCCACATTACTTTCACGAGTCAAAAGGTTAAGCAACACTAGTTGCTGAAGTGCCCCTAGAGAAAGCCTGTGATGGCCAAGAGTCCTGCCTGACAATTATGTGTTGGCAGAAGTAAAAGTTTAATAATAAGCTCCCCGGAATGTTATGTGCTTTGTAAACTGAATGAGAGGAAAGACAGTGAGAAATAAAGAGTGAGTTACTTATAACAAAATGTTAGAACCGGAAAAGACCTAAAAGTAATTTAGTTTAACCCAGAAGGCAGTGTTCAGTTCCTACAAATTTCAAAAGGTATCGGCTTTTTTCTCTAAAAAGCTAGAAATACCCTTTCCATAGAAAGCCAAAATAAAATTCAGTTTAGCAATTAAACAGAGAAGTTCTGTTAACACCAGCCTAAAGAAACCCTCTGAAGAAATGAAATAGATCTTTCATTTGTACCGTACTTGAAGTACTATTCAGATTTGTTGAAAAACTCTGTAAGACTCTTGGGAGAAGTGCTTTATAAAATACTGTTTCTTTATTTTAAAAATGAGGAAATTAAAGTTCAGATCTTCAGTAACTTCTTCGTGAGCCTAGAGCTGGAAAGAATAACTAGGAATCACACCCAATTCTTCTATTCCTTAATTCATCTCCCTGTGTTCTGTCACTCAGCCCCGTGGGAAGGGTGGGCTGAGGCAAGACAAGCAGTGCTGAGAAGTCGGCTTCATTTAATTAGAGAACATTTCATCTCTCTCTGATGGTTTCCAATATAATGCTAAGACTCGTCTTTGCCCTTTAAACTTCAGCGAATATCTATGTGTCAGCGGGAGAAACAAATATCCCCCAGATCTGGTGTGAAGAATGCTCATGCCTGAATTAGATAAAGGCACCTGAAAAACGTTTCTAGAGCTTCTCCCTCCCCCAGTAACACTTTGGTTTGGAGCCTCTGCTGTGCACCCCCAATCCTGTGTTTAAGGTTCTCCTTTCTGTCAGATGATTGTTTTAAGACTTTAGTCAATTTCCATTCTATTTTGCATAAGGTCAAACATTTTCACTGAGTTATCTTACTTTAAAATATTGCTTCAGGTTATAGGGGGAAACTATACACTGAAAAATAAATTTAAGAGCATAAGGCTGAAATTGTATGTGCAACGAAGTCATTACCATCAGTGCCTCTGTGTAAATATCCACTGGCAGGAGGCATAAGTTGCTGGTGACTGCCTGCCTCAGAGTTGCTGTAGCCTTCCTGGGGCTCGGACAGTGTCCCTTGGGAAGACAAATAGCTGGGAATGTCTGCAGGCAGATTAAGCTCCTCTGTGAAAGAGAAATCTGTATGTAACTCTAAAACAAAGTCAAGCAATCTGAGCCAACACTCAGAAGATTATTTTGCAAATGTGTTCCACTTTGATTCTATTACTCAAGAAAATGTTATGTACTTAAAAACTTAACAGCTCTTAGAATTTTCCCCTAAAACCATTTCTCACTAGAATTCTTCTCGAAGCTTCACTTTAAAAGTATTACCAAGAAATAAAACCTGAAGTCTGAGATCTCATCCACAGGCACACTCTCACAACCTATCTGGCTGGACCTCTTCTCTCACAGGATTTCAGGGTGACGGGTGTGAAAGACTGATCTCAGTCATACGGGCTCCACTACTCCCCACCAGGAAATTACGATGGAAATGAGGCCTAGGCATTAAGGAAAGACAGTGCACCTGTGAGGTGTTTCTAAGAGCAAAGTTCTGAGGGAGGTGTCTACAAATTCTTAAGATTATTCATCAGAGATGTTCTATTATATCAAGGAAATAGGACATTTTTAACAGAATTCTTCCTTCTACCACAAATGAAGTGTCAAAGTTCCTTTGCTTTTTACATTTTATAGTTAATGCCTATTCTACATTCCTGACTCAAGTATAAGCCATAGGTGTCAACTGGGTACCACTCACCTGTGTTCGTGATACTGTAGTCTTCATTTTTCCTTCTCATGTGGTAAATAACAATGACCCAGATCAAAGAGGTGCCCACAACACAGCAGACCACGACAATGATGACAATGCCGACTGTGGTCCAGCCATCATCTTCATGGCCAATGCTACTCTGGGAAGAGTCACAATTGGGGGATGAAATGACATGTAGGTAAATGTGACCACGTTCTGTCCCAAGGGTATTAGACATAATGCAGGTATATTTTCCAGCATCTTCTAGCCCAGCATCTACAATGATGAGAAGCTGGTTGGCTGCAGCAAAGAAGTGCCGTTCTGTCACAAGCAGTGGTCCGTCATCTTTGGTCCAGTTGAGGCGAGGGGCAGGACTCCCTCCAGCTATGCACTGTAATACCGCAGTTTCCCCTCGGGTTACTGTCTTGTCCTCCAGGGGTCTAATAAATGAGGGTGTCTCTAACAGAAAGATGTATAAAAAAATCGTGTTAAGCCATTTTATTCCTTAAATCCTATTGAATTAGATAATGAGGCTATAATGAAATAAGCCCTTTCATATACTCCTGGGAAGATTAGAAGTTAATGCTTCAGAAAAGCAAAAGCCTCAAAAAATCTAAATCTTATCTCAGTAATTCTATATTGGGCAAGCTATCCTAAGCTAAGGAATTCAAAAATTTATACACAAAGATGTTTATTACGAAATTAGTTATACCTTTTAAAAACAAAGGAAAAAAATCTAAAAATCTAGCAGGAAAATGATTAAGCAAATTATAATACACAGCCACGTGATATTCTATGGACGCCAATGACAGAGTAACCTTTGATATACAGTATTAAGTGGAAATAAGTAGGTATGCATAACTACATGAGTGTAAAAAAGTCAAGAATGTGACAATATCTTTAACAAAGTGTTTTAGTGACTTCCCTTTTTTCTAACGTTCCGTATAAACACAATAAACTTATTTTTCTGATTATATAAGTAAATAACGCAAACCAACACACTTTTAGAAATCTTTACATCTAGAGGAATGTAGAACTAAAGTAGAATTTGCCTTAGATTTGAGTCCCATGAAGAAAAGTATTCTGATTTTTTTTTTTTTAAAAAAAAGGCCTGTCACACATTTGCCAGAGCATAGGCTTAAGAGGATCACACTGGAAGGGAAACAGAAAACCTACTAGAAAATGGGTATTTTTTTTATTAACTTTTTTTTTTTAATGAACTGGGAGGGAAAACAGTTAAATTATCTGAAGTTCTCTGTGAAGCATATGTGAAGCAGTATAAAACAACTGCAAACTCACTACTAAGCAGTAGGAAAAAACATGTATGAGTAGAAACCTTATAGATGGAGGTATAACAGGATAAAGAGATTTTAATTTTCAATTCATGTGATAAAGATCTCTGACTGCCCTCAGCATTTCTCCAGATTTCCGTTACCTGATCTGCTAATATCCTAGGCTGACATAACCCTGCATAAACTGACGAAATAAGGTGATAAAGGTATATAAATAAGGATCACAGCTGAAATTTCAAACATACACTTCCTGCCATTAAGACCAAGAATAGACCCCTAATAAAAAGCTGCTACAAAAGCAGGGACCCACAAAGTAGTAAACATACCTAACACTGTGAGTGACGCATTTGCTGAGAGGCCTCCTGCTATATTTTGTGCCATGCAGCTATAGATTCCCATGTCTTCTATCTTCACATTTGCAATGAAGAAGACATCATCCTCGGGCATAACGTGCATGCGTCTTTCTCGAGCCGCAGGAAAATCAGTCCCACCATCTTTCTGCCAGGAAATCTGAGGTGCAGGGTGCCCCTCTGCAGCACATTCTAATCTGGCCATGGCACCAGTGCGAATAGTTAGATCCATTGGAGTTTTCAGAAAAGATGGCATCTCTATTCCAAGAAAGATCACCAAGAGAAAATGAGACGAGGAAATACACACACACACGTGAGAGATTCTGTTAGGCCAAATACCAACTGTCGTTAATACTCCAGTTCTTTGAGACGACATGCTCTCTGGACCGATAGTAAACACAGCTTCAGAGGCCATCTCTTCTCCCAAAACCTGAGTACAGTGATGACTAACTCTTCTAGAATGCATGACACACCTATCTGATCTCTCTGATGGCGACAGGGAAAGCAGATGGCCACGAACCTTTCTGAACTCCGTATTTTAGAACCTGATATTTACTAGGACTCTCTTACTAAAAAAGACTAAAGGGTGCTTCCCAAACTAATGTCTACAAAGCTGTCAAGGCAACTTTATGATAAAAAAAATTCATGCCTTGAAAAAGCTCATAAAATACAGAAGCGAGACACAAGTACGTTTTTTGGTTATACAAAGCTTAAAACATTGTAGTTATTCAATCTAACAGGCAATATATAAATCAAGCTGTTTGGGAGATTTTTATAGCCACAGTGAAGAAGAGCATTTATTTCAAAAACAATTCTGTGTGACTATATTTAGACAATAATGATAGCTGGACCTAGAATGTCCTAAATACTCCCAATTTTTGGAAGGCCCTGTGAACAGTGTCAGGAATAAATTTCAGTTTTCAGGTTCTGGGAAAAAAATGGAGAATTTCAAAAGAATTTTTTCAAAAGCATAAATAACAGTAAGAGTAACTTATCTCCTAAGGCCATGAAATTCTCCTTTACCCCTCAATCAATGGTCAATTAGGGACAATAAAAGGACAAACTGACAACCAGTCTATACATCATCACAACCCTAAAGACAAAAACAGTTAAGCTCCCCACCCCTGCCCCCTCCAATCAAATGTCAGGTTTAGCCTAATTTTCTCGGGTCAAGAAGTTCAAAAACCTGTTAGAAAGCATAATTCCTTACCATTCACAGTCAGTTTGGCCTTATGAGAATAATTAGAACCAAAGTGATTAGTAACAATGCACTGATATTTTCCTTCATCTGTGAAATTCACACTGAAAAGATGTAAGACACTAGTGTATTCCAGAGCTTCTCCAGCTTGGTGCTGATAGCGAACAAAATTCTCAATATCTGCATCATACAAGATTTCACTGTCTTTGCGCCACACGGCAGACATGGGCGAATCGCTGCTGCTCACGGCAGTGCTTGTCAGAGTCACGTTCGAGCCTCTTAGAGCAACTGTGGTTTCAGGATGCATCCTTATCTGCGGCTTGAGAAAATCATCTAAGGGAAAAAATGTGGCAGAAGCCAAGCAAGTTATTTATTTTTGCTTCTACAGATTCAATTTTAAAACAAATAATGTAAAATTGTGTGCTCTGTTTACAAAATGGCATATTAATATTGAAAGGGACTGTTAAGCTAGAATCCAATTCCCTCATTTAAAGATGAGAAAAATGAGGCCCAGAAAGGTCAGATGACTTGCTCAAAGCCATGGAA